AGTAAGTAAGCAAACCTCAGTCATGAACTTCCAAAGTACACACAGCATATTAAGTGTCCCACCAGGGACACTAACACACTGGACCACTGCTACACAACATTAAAGGACGCCTATCGCTCTGTTCCCCGTGCAGCCTTGGGACTCTGTGATCACTGTCTGGTTCATCTTCTCCCGACACACAGGCAAAAACTGAAATCTGCTAAACCTGTTGTAAAGACTGTGAAAAGATGGACCAACGAGTCAAAGCTGGATTTACAGGCCTGCTTTGACTGCGCTGACTGGAGTGTTTTTGAGGCTGCAGCCACTGACCTGGACGAACTAACTGACACTGTGACATCTTAGATCAGTTTTTGTGAGGACATGTGTGTGCCGACTAAAACCTTCCGCACATACAACAACCAAAAACCCTGGTTCACAGCGAAACTCAGGCAGCTTCGTCAGACCAAGGAGGAGGCCTTCAGAAGTGGGGACAGAGTCTTCTACAACCAGGCCAGGAACACTCTGGCTAAAGTGGTCAAAGCTGCAAAGAGGAGCTACGCTGAAAAGCTAAATAACAGCTTTGCTGCCAACGACCCTGCGTCGTTGTGGAGAAGCCTACGGAAACTCACAAACTACAAGAGACCATCCCCCAACACTGCTGGTGCTCAACAACTGGCAGACGAGCTGAATGGTTTCTACTGTAGGTTTGAAAAGCCCAGAGTCACACCTCTCCCCAACTCCAACGCCATCTTCAGTCACCTTCCCCCTCTGACCTCTCACCTGCACTCAAGATCTGTGAAGAGGACGTGAGCCACCTCTTCCAAAGGCAGAAGATCAGGAAGGCTCCTGGACCTGACGGTGTCTCACCATCGTGCCTGAAAATCTGTGCGGACCAGCTGGCCCCCATCTTCACTCAGATCTTCAACAAATCACTGGAGCTGTGTGAAGTTCCCTCCTGCTTCAAACGCTCCACAGTCATCCCGGGCCCAAAAAAACCCTCCATCTCTGGACTAAATCACTACAGGCCTGTCGCCCTGACATCTGTAGTCATGGAGTCCTTTGAAAGACTGGTGTTGGCCCACCTGAAGGACATTACAGGCCCCCTGCTGGACCCCCTGCAGTTTGCCTACAGGGCTAACAGGTCAGTGGATGATGCTGTCAACTTGGGTCTGCATCACATCCTGCAACACCTCGACTCTCCAGGGACATATGCAAGGATCCTGTTCGTGGACTTCAGCTTGGCATTCAACACCATCATCCTGGACATCCTCAGCACCAAACTCACCCAGCTCACTGTGCCAGCCTCCGCCTGTCAGTGGATCACAGACTTCCTGACTGACAGGAGTCAGCAGGTGAGGCTGGACTATCAGCACTGGCGCCCCCCAGGGGTGTGTGCTCTCCCCACTGCTCTTCTCCCTCTACACCAACGACTGCACCTCAGGAGACCCATCTGTCAAACTCCTGAAGTTCACTGACGACAGAACGGTCATCGGCCTCATCCGGGACGGTGACGAGTTGGCCTACAGACGGGAGGTTGATCAGTTGGCTCTCTGGTGCGGTCAGAACAACCTGGAGCTCAACACGCTCAAAACTGTGGAGATGACCGTGGACTTCAGGAGGAGCCCCCCCACTCTGCCCCCCCATCACCATACTCAACAGCCCTGTGTCTGCTGTGGAATCCTTCAGGTTTCTGGGTTCCACTATATCCCAGGACCTGAAGTGGGACTGACACTATCATCAAGAAGGCCCAGCAGAGGATGTACTTCCTGCGTCAGCTCAGGAAGCTCAACCTGCCTAAGGAGCTGCTGATCCACTTCTACACAGCCATCATCCAGTCTGTCCTCTGCACCTCAATCACTGTCTGGTTTGGATCTGCCAGCAAAAAGGACAGGAGCAGACTACAACAGACAGTCAGGACTGCAGAAAAAATCATCGGTGCCAACCTGCCCTCCATTCAGGACTTATACATTTCCAGAGTCAGGAAACGGGCAGGAAACATTACTGCAGATCCATCTCACCCCGGACACAACCTGTTCCAGCTCCTCCCCTCTGGTAGGCGCTACAGAGCACTGTACGCCAAAACCAACAGACACAGAAGCAGTTTCTTCCCACAAGCCATCACTCTGATGAACAGCTGATTTCTGACTCACAGTGTCAGGAACAATTCCTGTGCAATAACCCAGTAACTCTGTCTCTAATCAGCACCTGTTTACTGGTTTCCACTTATTATTTATTTATTCACCATTCTCTATTTCAGTGCTGTTCATACGTCATATTGTATATACTGTATACCAATACACCTACCTCAGGTCATAAGGTCATAGGTCTTATTTATTTTTTCCAGCATCCTTTGCACTATGCTCCATCACACTGTGTACATGTACACATGTATGCATGTATGTGTATGTGTACCTGTATATCATATCCACCTTCAACATGTACATAATGAGAATAATAGTTTAATCTTGCATCCTTTGCACTCTGATCCATCATTTCATTCGAGTGGGTGTCACAATTCTCAGAGGGCGGTGATTCATTTTGGAGAGAAGCTCTTCAGAGCAGCTCCTTCACGCTTTCTAATTTTAGATTTCACGTTAAACTGTAAGCGTTATTTAACTCTGAGTGTAACTTAAAGATGGTAGATTGCAACCAGGCGTGTGCTCGTACATGTAATCGAACTCATGAGCGAGCATAATCCGACACACACAGACAGTTTACTCAGGTAAACTCCCACTGCAGCATTACAGTAATATTTTTATCAGCTGGAGGATGAACTAATCCATGCTCGTTACATGATACCGGTACATTTACTGCATTTAGCCAATGTGCTACATTGTTAGCTGCTTTTCAGTAACTAACTTTACTATTTGTGTATTTTTCACCGGGGGCTCAGCAATGTCAGCACAGCTAAATGTATTTGATGATAACAAAACGGTTAGTGAGCTGGACTGAAGATTATAAATGAGATTGTTGTCAAATTTAACAGTTACACCACAGTAAGTAACATTACTGTAGTGAATGGGTTTTCCACTGAGGTGTTGTGCTGGGCACCTATGTTGCATTATTATATATTATGCGCAAGTTATAGTGACTGAGATGGTGCAGAAGCTGTATACCTGAGTATCGGTAAAACGTCAATAAATCTAAATTGAATGTTATGATGCAAACATCACTATAGGCTAGTATAAACAAATCGCTCCACATTTGCTTTTTAACGTTACGTCATTTCTTACAGGCTAAAATCAACAATTTGACATAATTCCTGCAAGCAATACAACTCTAGCTCTAGCCGGCGAGCTAACGTTTTCAAATTTGAGGCAACTAAAGCACAAAATGACAATATATTTCACATGTTTTGCAGTAAGTTAGTTTACCTGTCCAACGGGATGAAAGCCCACTCTGCTGGTTTGGTTTTGTCGGGTTCAAAACAAAGCGGAGGTCTCTCTGTGACTCAAGCCTTTCTGATGTTGACTGTGTTTCGCCCGACACGTTCGTTTGGTCTGAAGGGCTTCAGCACATTAAACTTTGTTGTTGTATTTTAATCCTTACGTGAAATTTATGTTGGAGTCTGTGTTGTGCTGGGAGCCGTTTTTTTTATGGTGTTAGTGGACTGCATTTCATTGGTTGCTGTTTTGTCCATGTAGTCGGAGACAGGCAACCAGACCCGATTCCTTCACATTAAAAGCAGAATAATGCCTTTTCCAAGCAACAGAGAAAACACACGTGAGCTTCATTTCTAAGTGAGGCTACAGCCAGTTGACAAAAAGGCAGTGAAAAAGTGATTTACTGATAAGTAATTTCATTGAAAAACTACATCAGCCACTTTTAAACTAAATTACACCTCTCACTGAATCAATAGCACATGAGTGTGCTCACGTAGAGAGGGCAGCTATAGCAAATTAGAGACCAGCTGTTCAGATTCACACTTCTGTTTCTCTCTGCAACCTCAAAACCAACAAAACCAACGATTTCACAGCAGGTATTTTACAGCTGACGGGAAACACCAGCTGTGACATCACTTACATCCCCATGTCGTACATTTAAAATGCTGCTTTATGTGAGTTAGTGTGAATTTAACGTCTAACAGCACAGAGCTACTGCCTGGTTAACAAGCAGCACAAAACAAAACATGCTAACTATTTACTTTCTGTTTTTTTCGGCAGGATGGAGCCAAAACCTGCAGCTTGAAGATCAGAAATTCAATAATTTACCAGATTAATTTCCCTGTGTCCAACCAAACCAACCTGATAGCTCAGTCACACAAAAATCAATATATATTAAATGGAATTTGAATAGAGAATAAATATTTACAGTGTTTTCCCGTGGAGTCCGACTTTGTGAATTCATGCAAGTGATCGTTTAAAGTTAAAAAGTCTTAACGGTGTCGACCTGTCATCATGTTGCTACTGAATTCCTGGTCGTGTTAATGAAACTTCAAATGATGTTTAGATTTCTTGATAAAGCTCTCATTCTAACCCTGCTTCTAACACACCATGTCTTAGGACTTCAGCTGCTGCCTGATAGATCCCACCCACTAACAGGTGCCATGATAACCAGATAATCAAAGTTATTGTGTTCAACTATTTGTGGTCAGAATGTTATGGCAGATTGGTGTATATTGCCTTGAATTAAATTACTGGTTAGCAACAAAGCTACGTAGCCTACTAACTGGTGGCATGTCTTTCTATTGGCTGAAGTCATCACACAGTATGACTCAGTGTTTGTTTCCCAAGAGGTTAATCATGCTCATTTAAAAAGCAGCAGGCACAGAAACACAGATTTCAACACATGATAATATGACAGCAACATTCAGAGCCATGCGCACCAGAAATCCCTGTTTCATATGAACCCAAGAAAACCACATCTCTCAGACTTCCTCTTAAATTATTCTCCCAAATATATAAACACTTCCCTCACTGTTCTGAATCACTAAACAAAGAAAATGTAAAATAAATTAATGAAAAATGCTACCACAGAAGAAGCAGTTCAAATGAATTTCTCCTTTTTAAAAAGGCACTAACCGTGGAAGGTTCGATTCCACATCCTCTTGGTGACGACTTTGCCCGGAGGCCGACCGCCGGACATCGACATGGTCTCATTCAGAGCGTGAGTGTAGAGCATCAACCCGTCGTAAAATCCTCCTGCTATGATGTTCATCTGGAAGAAGGAAAGCAGAACCAAATCACTTTCATGTTTTCCTTCTGTGTTTGCATGTGCATTTGTTATCTGGCCAGAAGTGATGCCCTTAGATGGCAAATAAAATTTATTAATTAAGCTAAGTGTATTAAATGGCATTTGGATTTATTCAGGATGCGAGATACTTAAGGTTTCTCTCAAACAACATACATTTCAATGTCATCTTCCCCTCCCCCCCAAAGTAATATTGTTCACAGCTTCTTTTAGTCTAATTAGTGACACTGATTGGATCTTTGTCCAGTCCCAGTTTGGGTTCAGGAGGCAGACACCATTGTCACATTTAGGAGCAGGCTTTTAAGACTTTCCTCTTTGATAGAGCCTATAGTTAGGGCTGGCTCAGGTGATGAAACATCCCTTAGTTATGTTGCTATAGGCCTAGACCTGGGATGGAAATTAACACCCGAACAAGAAGATGGATTTTCCATTTGGCGGCCAAATGTTGGAAGGCTACCCGCCACATTGGTGGGTGAATATATTCACAATATGATTTCTATTTGACGGAAATTAGCAGCAGACCGGCGATCTTGTTGGTTTTGCGTCGCACTTAAATTGGTCCCCGATGTACCAAGGGATCTAAAATCATGAAACACAGGGAATAGGGTCGTTCATTGGTTGTTGTTTATGTTACTTGTGTTTGTTTGTCTTAGATTTGTAAGGGGTGGGCGTTTGGGGACAGGAGAGTGAAGCTGCGTTAATGTGGAGATCAGCTGGGAAAGAATATCTGCATTTATGTCGCATTCGCTTATTCATACTGAAAAAAAGTTTGCAGCTTTATCCCGTGTGAAAAGCCCTTTATCTGGCAACCATGCGTGCTTTCACATAGCGGTCCGGCTTTACAGGAACCAGCGGCTGCAGCATGTCAGCTGTGGCTTTTACCCAGAGATCGTTCCATCTTTCTGTCTTGAACCTGTCACCAACTTCCCCTGTACAGAGGCGGAAAAATTGGGCTCCATACCTTTCATAAAGTGCAGTGAGCCGGCAGATTGCCGCAAAACCCCTGTGAAACAAGGCAGCGTGAAAGCTGCTAATGTTTGGAGCTAATTACAAAAGTTGTACTAGGAGTGTTTTTAGCTTTTAGCTGGGTAGTTGGCGGTCCAGTCAATGTCTGACACACTGCCAGATCTTCTAATGGTCCTGCTGTCCTCCCCAGAGATCAAGGAGACTGATCCATAGACTGTATAAAAAATGTTGATCCCACAAAACCTGTGATGCTGTAGGACCAGGACTCTGTCAGAACCAGGAGGCCAGAAGAGGGGGATTGTAGAAAGTGAGCAGTCTGATGAGGGGGTTTAAGTTGAATGATAAAGCATGACAAGAGTGAGCAGTGATGAGATTTAAGTTGAATGATTTTTTAGAAAACCAGTTACTGTTATGTCTAAGTACATTTAGCAATAATATAATTTTGCTTCAAATTTCACTCTGGCCTCTTATTTCAGTTTGTATTTGACATAATACCTTATTATATCAATTAAAAGGAAGGAAACATATGTAGGCCTACTGTATATGTACGCGAAAGGCAGTTTATTATTTTGGCTGGTAAAAAATATGTTCCCGTAGTATTTCTCAGCCCTCTCCTCCTATCACTTTCTGCAGGTGTTTCTGGCTCTGGAGTCTGGATCTGGGGCTGCAAGTCACCTGCTGCCTTCCTGTTCCTGCACAACTTCCGGAAAGTGCAATGATTTAACTTTTGTTATGGAGTTGGGGCTATATAAATAAAATAAAACTGAATTGAGTGTAGCCTACTACAAACAACGGTGAGTGAAAGTGAGCAGATCATGTTGGAGTCGGAGCTGACTTTTACTGAAATTACTAAAACGCAGAAACGAGAGAAGGCGTCAGAGGAGATGGTATGTACGACCCTTGAATCGCCTGAGGCAGAAAAAGAAGCACAAGCCAGAACAACATACAACATAAAAAGAAAAGTCACTTAGTACGTGCACACAGGACAAGAAATAAAACACCCATTAAAAGCCTTGTGATTAGAGCTGACATTAGATGCTACAAATGGGACTAGCTGGAAACCTTAAAGAGGTGGTATAATGCTTTTTAGCTTTTCCCCTCTCCTTTATTGAGTTAAATATCTTTTTAGTGCATGTGATATGTTTGCAGTGAAAAAGCCCAAAGGGAGTTCCCATCTCCCATCTGAGCCGGTCAGCATCTTCAGTCGGCCACTAAAAGAACTATTAAGCATTTTAAAAGACACCGTGGAGTGGGTGGTCTACAAGATCCATGACATTTTATAGATTAGCACTTGTTCTTTTTCTATGATGACCTCCAGTGAATTAGTAAGAGGCTATAAATCCTTGATAAAAAGTAAAACGCAGGTTTCTGCTTACATCAAAGAAAAATAGCCCTGACTGAGTCTTCTTGAAAACAGTGTTTGTGATCTTCTTTTAGTTTAATTCAGATATAGGTATAAACAAAGTCCTTGTAGGCAACTCCCGCCACTCAGCAGCCATCTTGGTAACACCTCCAGGTGGTTATTTTGGACTAACAAGACCAGGCCCCTCTCTGAACGAATAAGCAGCAGAGAGCCATTACTGGACTTTCACTGGTCACCGGGACATAAAACGTGCATATATAGAATCAGAAGTAAAATCTGATAAAAACAATTAAACAGTTTAAGGAGTTTCCCCCAAAAAAAGTTTTAAAAAGTTTTTCCCCACAGGTTATACTTCCACTATGGGTGCGTGGTAGTAATGATGTATGCGCGTTAGATCCACGATTGGCTTAATAAGTTTCACGGCTCTGCTGTTAAAAGCAGACGATTGGCTTTCTAGCGGGAGGGGCGGGATATGTGCATACAACCGCCATCTTTGGCGTTACACTTTCCCTAAAGAATTATATTGGATTATTTAAGTGGCGCATCTCCTCTTAAAATGTCTGTCATAAGATTGACCTTGCAGCCCCAGCAGCGATTTTAACCTAATAATAACTTTAAATCAATATTTAGGAGCCCTAAGCTGTGGGTAAACAGTGTGAAGCCCTGCTTAATGATTAAAAACATAAATAAAAGGCTGGAAATTACACATTTCATGCAGGTTACATTTAATGAGGATGCTCCGGTGTGCAGGCTGAAATGGACTGAAGAAAGAAAAATTACGACGAGATAATGCTTCTTTGTGAAAAAGGAAAAATATTCATGCAGTTTTCCAAAAAGTACAAACTGATAAATGGCGACAGAACATCTGTAAGGGTGAGCAAAAACATCTGATGATCATTCAACATGCCGTGTCATCTGTAGTTTAGAAAATTACAAAACAGACATTACAAGCGTTATCTGTCAGCTGCTGGTTGTATTTTCTGCCATCTGCTAGTTTCCAAACGGTCCATGTTTCCTTTGAAATATCCTGTTTCTCCACAGGGATCACTCATAGTGTCATCTTATTATGTGTGTGTGTGTGTGTGTGTGTGCGCGCGCGTGTGTGTGTGTGGCTCTGTGACTGTTAACTACATTAGCGTCCCCTCAGCTCAGTCTGTCTGAACTGGCAGCTGCTGATTAGCTGCCAGACAACCTGCCTACTTAACACAGACTCGCACACATATGGTGCCTGATAAGGGCCAAACTAGAGGCCCGTATTACATTTTAGCAGATTACAGCATTAAGGAACGTGCAGGGTAACAAATATTCAGCAGCTGATGGCTGATTGTTGTAAAGGAGCAGTCCAAAATAGACAGATCCAGGACATGCCAAGCCAAGCTGAGCACAAAGACTGGAAGCAGGGGGACACAGCTAGCCCGTTTGATTATTGTAATGCTTTACACTGTGTGTAGGTGTTAGCCAGGTCTACCTATCTCTAACACAACTGACTCAAATGTCAAACGATTGGCTCAGAGAAACTGACAGAAACAAATTAGTAGGCGTTATATTATTGGATTTCAGTGCAGCTTTTGATATAATTGATCATAGTTTGTTATTAGAAAAGCTTAAATATTATGGATTTAATCAGACTGCAATATTTGGTTTTCTTTCATGAAGTTTTGCTGAGGAAAATACTATAATATATATTAGAAGCGGAGTTCCTCAAGGAAGCTGTCTAGGTCCATTGTTATTTGTTGTGTTTACAAATGTATAGGGCAAAGCAATTATGCTGATGATACATCAGTATATATGACGGAATCCACAATCGCTGAACTTGCAGGTGTCTTAAATAAGGAATTGCAGTCAGTAGTTGAATGGGTAACAAATAAACTGTTTTTTAATGTCTCAAAAACGGTGTTGTATTTGCATAAAATCATTGTCGTGCACCACCTAGAGGCAGCTCACCGCACTTTGGGAATCGCTGTTCTAAGCTAAGCTAACTAGCTTATCATTGTAGCTTTCAGAATCGAGTGGAAATTCTTGTGTTACAGTTGCTCACTTTGCATCTCAAGGCATTAAAGGAATATACTGTAAATAATAATAGAAAGTTGGTAAATAGAAAATGTCAAGAAAATATACAAATCTTAAAATATAAATAGGAATGTGGAAATATGTACAGTACTTTACAGTATGTGACAGAAGTTTAATTAATAAATAGTGCTAAAAGTAATGCCGTTAGTAGTAGAGTATTGATAGTGTTGAGGTGGAATGGATTAAAATCCTCTCTGTGGTGCATTTAAGAGGGGTGAGTCTGTCACTGAAAGTGCTCCTGTGTTTGACCAGACAATCACGGAGTGGGTGGGAGACATTGTCCAAGATGACATGTAGCTTAGACAGCATCCAGGATAGAACTGGGTACCACAGACTCCAAACATCCGCATAGTGGCATTTATCTACTCATTTAATTTACTGCCAGAAAGTGAATAACCTTATTTCCAAAAGTGTCTATTTGTCCATTAAATGCACTGTGTACACTGCAATAAGAGTCACACAATCAGTGAAAGTAACAACAACCTAAACAGTGTTTTAATATTCGATTATATCCATCAACTTATTTTCATGACACTTTATAAAATCATGCCAGTATCACTTCAGAAAAACAACGTGTACATTGCTCTGCAGTAGGGCAGGACAATAAAACAACAACAATTATCGCAACATGTGTTTTTTCAATATCAATATAATACATTTGCAATAAATATTCAATAAATTTGATTTTATTTACTTGAATCATACACAAATTAGGACTTCAGTTTGAGAAAATATTTTACTTTTTTTACTCATTTTTTAAGGGAGTTTGGAGTGGATTAGCAGCCGCCTCATGCGCAGACAAGAGAACTGTTCTCTCTTCTTTAGAAATTTGAAATTGTCCGGTGTTCTCTAATCTTGCGCACTCAGCAGCAACATGTTCTCCAGCTGGGAACGTCGCCATGAGCGATGCATCGTTTATGATTGTAAAGTCAGGGCACGTCTGGAATGTGAAACCGATTTATCGGCCGGACGATATTATAGTTATTATATTATATTATAGTTCACTACTTCTAAATATTCTCTAAAATTACATAACATTACAGCAGCTAACGTTAACGCTGCCTGTTGCTAAATTAGCCACAAAGCTAATGCTGTGTTTATCAGTGGAGGAGCACTAACGTCGTAATGGACATTAAACTATAGTTTCTGGTGTATTCTAAATTTATCGGTCCGCCTGTCTGCAGTTATAGTCGGCGTGTCTGAAATGATTAAACCAGAGCGGACATGTAAATAAACGTGACGCTGTAGATGTGAAACGCTGTAGTCAGAGCCGTAACAGCTCAGGTTGTAGTTATAACGTTAGTTGTGATGGTGCAGTGGATAAGACACATGCCTTTGGTGTGAGAGACATGATTCGAATCCACTGTAAGACACTATTGTGTCCCTGAAAAAGACACTTAACCCCTAGTTGCTCCAGAGGCGTGCGACATCTGACATATATAACAATTGCAAGTCGCTTTGGATAAAAGCGTCAGCTAAATGAATAAATGTAAATGTAAATGAAATCTCAAAGTTGCAGCCCTTGTTGAAGACAGTCATGTAGTATTTGATGAGAAATGGTTTTACGTAGCTTTGGTTAGAATTAAAGAGTGCTGGTAAAGGGATGTACTAGATGTGAATATGCTACATTGAAATTATGGCAGATTATGTGTAAAGTGAAATACACAGATGGCTAAAAAAGTTGCACCTTCCAGCAGCAAATATGTATTGATTGTAAATGCTCTGTACTTGTATAGCGCCTTTCTAGTCTTTTCGACCACTCAAAGCGCTTTTACACTACATCTGCATTCACCAGTCATACACATTCATACACTGAGCCTAAGTGCTCAAACAGAAACTAACATTCACACTCACTCATACACTGGCGGAACAGCCGCCAGGGGCAAATCGGGGTTCAGTATCTTGCCCAAGGACACTTCGACACGCAAGGGGGAGCCAGGGATTGAACCGCCCACCTTCCCATTAACGGCCAACCCGCTCTATCTCCTGCCACCCCGATAAATTGCAATTGCAAGTGCAATTGTTTACATATTAAGATGAGACTGTAATCTATTTTATTAACATAATCCATTTAGGAAAAAGGTTTTATAGCCCCCATGCAGAACAGCTTTCACTATCGGCTTGTTCTAAGTGTAATTTATACAGGAAAGGGGTCTACTATCCAAATCAATCTCAAAATCGAAATATCGGCTGATAAATAGGCTCTTTTTCTCTTTAATATTGGCATCAGCCCCCAAAAACCCATATTGGTCAGGCTCTAGTTAACCTACCATAGGTCGTAGCAAGAAGCAAGGTAACGTTAGATGGCCAATGCTGAGCTAAATATGTTGATTAACCTCCTTCAAATGGGCCTTGCTGTATGAAGTTTTAAAATCAAAGTTTATGATGAATGGCTCAGCAGCTGCCTCTGTCTGTTGTCCTCTCTCCCGTGTGGCCGTGCACAGCTGATACTATGTGTTGCGTAGGCAGGTTATAGGTAACGCGGGGGGGGGTAAAAGCAAGCTCATCAGACATTGCTAATAAACATTGTTCACGTGTCCCGCACCTTGAGTCCGAGTCAAGTCTGAAGTCTTTTGAGGACGAGTCTCAAGTCACTGTGTGTTTGACTTAAGTCGGACTCGAGTCCGAGTCTCTAACTTTCCATCTTCGCTGAATGATAGGACACTTGGGTCTAATCAGGTGAAGTCCTTATATGGACCCTCTTGGTCACATGTAGAGCTGGATTGATAACTTGATTAGTTGTCAGCTATTAAATTAATCACCAACTATCAATTCATCGCTTAGAGTTCCTTTTTAAAGAAATAAACATCTAAATTCTGTGATTCCAGCTTCTCAAAGTTCAATATTTTCTGGTTTCTTTACTCCTCTGTGACAATAAACTGAATATATTTGGGTTGTGAACAAAAGAGGACATTTGAGGACCTCTCCGTGGGTAATTTTGTAGACCAAACAACTAATCGATTTAACCTTTTCCTTAACAACATTGCAAACATAAATCCAGTGTGTTAAGGTATTCACCACCGTGTCTTTTTGTAACACATTAAAATGTGCAAAGCCTCAACAGGGATCACAACGGAAAACAAGTTGTCTCACCTCCTCTCTGAGGGGCAGTTATTGTTTTACACCATGTCATCTTCGTGCCAGATGATAATATCAGCAGCGGTTAGCACTGTGTTGTGCTGAGCTGATCTGGGATTTAAAGTGTGAGAACTGTCTCTTTTCTTTTCTGTCTTTTTCTCTGTGTGTGATGTTCAGCAGGATGAAGCGACAGGATAAGAATCAGCAGACTAAATATGCTTCTCTAAATTGAAGTGGTTCAGTCATCACAGCTGCTCTGACGATGCTAATTATACATTTACATAATCGTGTTTTTTTTACCTAAACACTGTTCATATTTTCCATTGCTGCGACTGTCACGTTTATTAGATCTAATAACCTAATTTCCTTTATTTTTATTTGATCATATTTGTCTTTGTCCAGCAGCACTGAGGCCTGAGGACGGTGATGTTTGTCCGTCCAACAGTTTTTTTTCCAGAGGATGAACCTGATCTTTCTTCTAGTTGTGTAATCACCTCCACTACTAACAAAACAAGAAAAAAGAATTATTTCCAGATTACTAAATATTCCAACATAGTGACACTTTGATATTATTTTTTGAGTTACAGCAGTTTCCAAAAGCAGGTTCTGTTTTTATGAATTTTGTGGAAGGTATTGCTTTGATTTTAGCAAAATAATGTTTTTTTCATTCCATAGAACCTTAATATGTATTTTATATTCATGCTCACTGTGTCCAAATTAGTGATTTGTCGGTCTTGAATGAGTCGGCTCTTTTTAGTGAACGAGAGTCTGAGAGCCGATTTTGTGCACATTCCTACCCCCACCCATGGAAAAAAAAAAAAAACATGACTTTCACTTCCATTAATTAAAAATATACGGCGTGTGTATATATATAATTTATAAACTATATACTATTTAATATTAATTAGTAGAGTGTTATTTTTATGTTATTATTGACATCTCACACTTAAAATGAATATTTCACTCTATTGCAGATGAAGAATCTTACAGAATAACACAGTAACTCAGGCTGTGACCAACAGTGGCACTAAATAAAGAGCCATTTTCCCATCAACAGTCCATAAACACACAAACACTTCTCACCAGTGAGTCCTCTACGGTGTAGTTGAACATTTCCAAGGCGTCCGTCTTCAGATTGCTGACAAACTCTCTGTACTCGTGGTTCTGAGGCTCTCGGTAGGTCAGGATCTTCACACTCTGAAAAAGGGAAGAGAAGGACTTTAAAGTAACCCTTGCTTTCCTGACGAACACGGACCGATCAGCAGGTAAATGTTTTTCCACATGTTGTAACTATTAGATTTAAAGTACCAGTCAAAAGTTTGGACACACTTAGAGATGTCCCTGTTTTTGAATGATAAACATTTTGTTAGTTTCATTAAAATAACTGATAGTTAATTTTGTAAATGTCTTGTTGCTGCAAATGGCTGATTTGTAATGGAATATCTACAGAGGCCAATTATCAGCAACCATCAGCCCTGCATCAGCCCTGTGTGCCAACGACATGTTGTGTTTATAAATCCAAGTTTATCTTTTTAAAAGGCCAACAGATCATTAGAAAACCATTTTGCAATCATGGCAGCACATCTTAAAATTGATATAAGAAGATATACACTAAACAAAATTATAAACGCAACACTTTTGTTTTTGCCCCCATTCATCATGAGCTGAACTCAAAGATCTAAGTCTTTTTCTGAGTACACAAAAGGCCTATTTCTCTCAAATATTGTTCACAAATCTGTCAAAATCTGTCAAAATCTGTGTTAGTGAGCACTTATCCTTTGCCGTGATAATCCATCCACCTTAGAGGTGTGGCATATCAAGATGTAGATCAGACAGCATGGGGATTGCACAGGTGTGCCTAAGGCTGGTCACAATAAAAGGCCACTCCAAAATGCGAAGTTCCATCACACAGCACAACGCCACAGATGTCTCAGATTTTGAGGGAGCATGCAATTGGCATGCTGACTGCATGAATGTCCACCAGAGCTGTTGCCTATGAATTGAATGTCTCCAAAGGCGTTTCAGAGAATTTGGCAGTACATCCAACCAGCCTCACAACCGCAGACCACATGTAACCACACCAGCTCAGGTCCTTCACATTTTCTAGTGGCCTTTTATTGTGGCCAGCCTAAGGCACACCTGTGCAATCCCCATGCTGTCTGATCAGCATCTTGATATGCCACACCTGTGAGGTGGGTGGATTATCTCCGCAAAGGAGAAGTGCTCACTTACACAGATTTCGACAGATTTATGAACAATATTTGAGAGAAATAGGCCTTTTGTGTACATAGAGGAAGTCTTAGATCTTTGAGTTCAGCTCATGACAAATGGGGGGAAAAACAAAAGTGCTGCATTTATAATTTGGTTCAGTGTATATCCTTCTATAGACTAGTTGAGTGTCTGGAGAATCAGCAGCTGTGGGTTCATTACAGGCCCAAAATGGCCAGAACTAGACAGAACTTTCTTCTGAAACTCGTCAGTCTGTTCTTGTTCTGAGAATTGAAGCTGCCAAGAAACTGAAGATCTTGTACAATACTGTGCGCTACTCCTTTCACAGAACAAACTGGCTCTAACCAGACCAGAAAGAGGAGTGGGAGGCTCCGGTGCACAACTGAGCAAGACGACAAACACATTAGAGGGTCTAGTTTGAGAATCTGATGCCTCACAGGTCATTAAATATTACCTGTAAAACAAACTCTGTGATGCTTCTGGCCTTCAGGGCAGAGAGGCAAAAAGTCATTTCTAAGACCAGCCAATAAAAAGAAAGGATCAGGGCTTCATCTTCTCTTTTAATGGCTTTTTCTTTGAAACTCTACCTAGAAAAAGGTTTTCTCCTGATCAATTTGCCTTTTAAAACGATTGGATTAGCAAACAGGCCATTAGAACACAGGGTTGGTCCTGATAATGGACCTCTATAGATATTCCATTACAAATCAGCAGTTTGCAGCAACAACATTATCAATATCTAAGCTGTATTTCTGATCAATCTATCAATTATTTTAATGCACTTTTCATTAAAAAAAAGGACATTTCAAAGTGTCTTTTTAAATGGTACTGTACATAAGAAAACAGTACACATGTTGAGAAATTAAACAAATAAAGTAAGTTGGATGAGTGAAAATTTATTTTCTGATGAACTTTGATTGCATTTGGAAGAGAAACAGGAAGAGGAGGAGATGTTGCTTTGTGCCGTACAAACAAGTTCAGACGGCTGGCGTGTTTCCATCAGATATCATCATATGACATTACTGACCAGTGGAAAGTGCCCATGTGGTAATGGGACCCATGAAGAAGAGGTCATCTGCAGCGGTCAAGGTGAAACCTGGAGTTTAGTTTTGGTTTCCTACCAAACAGACTTAATATGGTGGATTCAACCTTATAGGCATTATAATTGGAAAAGGTCTTTTTAGATGACCACTGCTTCAGATTAGGCAATCTTAGAGGCTTGCCGTGACTTGTCTGAGAGACATGTCAGCATCGGTCAATCATAGCTTGGCAATTTTCACGACTTGCATGACATTCAGGAGATGAGGTGTCAGGGACGGACTGAGCTGCTCCACCCGACAGCAACGACGACAAAGGATTCTGTGTGTAATGCAGGTTTTCTGAATCAAAGCGAAAGAGACGCTCTGTGTTTATTAGTTCCCAGATCCACGTCATAGAACTGAAAGGTGAGAGAGGGCAAAACAATTCTGACACTATTCTTTTTGTTGGAAAGTCGCGGGGCGTCTCAGATGCCGCATCGGTTGTGCTCAAACATGAAAAACAGGATGACGTGAGCGTCTGTCCTGTCCGACATTTGCTTGATTTGACATCTTTTAAGACTTTATTTATCAGTTTTCCTCACAACAATGCAGTTCACAATATCAACATCACAAACAGCAGTGTGTCAAAAAAAAAGGCATTTTTATATTTATGAAAGTAAAATATAATAAACTGAAAATACAAAAAAAATAAAAGATAAACCCAGACAGACATGCATCGCTGCAAGTACCAGGATGTGGTTAAATAATGAGTCACAATGACATTTTCTATAAATCTTCACTAAACAGAGACCAGATTTGCACACATTTATCGAATGAACCTCTCAAAGTGACACCTCTTGTATTCCTCATTTTGAAGATGGGGGTTTATCTGACTTCCGGTTATAGCTATAGCTATTTCCTGCATATTAGTGATATTAAAGCCAAACAGTACTACCCCAAATACAACCGGCAGGGGGTTCGGGTAATAGTTGTGTTGCATATTCAACATCATTTTAATTCGGGTCAGGACACTGTACTGATATCAGCCACCATCTTTTTTTGATTATTCTTTCAATTAATCTCTTATTCAGGAGTGAAAAAAGCCAGAAAGAATCCAAACTGATGGCAGACATTTAGCAGAGTCCAAAGTGACGACTTTAAACAGTCTGAACAGATTCATTTGATTCATTTTATATTATTTAATCTGCACCAACACATGTATGATTTGGTTCAACTTCAGTGAACTGTTCCTTTTAAAGTAAATCAGAAACTTCTGATAACAAACCCCTCCGTCTTTCAGGTCACAGTCAGTTTTGATTTTAAATATTTACTGGAGGAATTTAAACAAGCAAATTTCTCTCTGGAAATAATCAATCACGCCATCTCCCTTTAGTTTCTAGGTGTCTTTATCTGAACTCAAACTGAGCGAATTCCTTTCCTGTGAGAAACCCGGCAAACATTGCTTCATGCTGTCAACCTGTTGTCTCTCCAAACACACTCATGTTATTTGAGTGCGGCCCCATTGTTGTCTTTCGTCTTGGTGACCAGTGATCCACATCACAGCCAGGCTCGTCCTTCATCTTCTTTAATGTTTATTTACCAAGACAAGCGGTGCTCCCCCCCCCACTGCACATTCATTCACCTCATAAGAACGACCAGCAGCTAACTCTGTTAGCAGCGACGCTAACGAAACTCTGTTGCTGCTAATGTCACACAAATATTAAGTTAGTACAACACTCCCCTAACAGGTACAGTTCATCAAATAAAGTCTCTGCTGGCACCTGGAGCTCAATGGAATTTCTCCTACAGGGTTCCTTTCATTAGTCTTTCTGACAAGCCGAAACATGTTCCCGAGTATTTCTCTCCACAATCAATCAAAAAGCAACAGCAACATTTCCCAACGAGTCTTAACCAGTATGTTAAAGCATCTGGGACAAACCGTTCTCACTACCAAGTTAGTTGTAAGTCCTTTAGCATAATTTTACTAGGCATAATTATTATTATAAATAAAAGTAAGAGTAAGGAGGTGGTTGGGGTGAACAGCTGGGCCAGAAACTGGACTTTCACCCAGGAGTCTGGTGTTTGTTTCAAGTGTGAAACAAAAAGTCAGCATTGATTGTTTTTACTTGTGTTACATAAGTTACGTAGTTATTTGAACCCAAATCACTATCTTTTCCCAAATCTAACCAAATTACACCGTTTCACATCGCTAAATACTAGTTTTATTTTAAAGGTCTAACTTAACATTGATACAGTATTTATTATTGCTAACTTGTCAGCAGAGTCCTACACGTGCAAAAAATGCTAAAGAGGTACCCAGGGTGTTAAAAAGCGAAGCCATCGTGTCTTGACGTATGTGACGAGTTGGGAGTGAGAACGTGTTATCAGGTGTAGTATTTGCTGAATCCGATGATGCACTGAGCTCCTCTCTCCTCTACTTTCTCTCCCTCTGTATGCAACCTCATCCCATTATTGCATGTTACTAACACAACTTCTCCCCTTTCCGGTGGTCTTGTGCTTTCTCTTCCCTCTCCTCTCTCCTCCTATCACTTCCTGCAGGTGTTTCTGGCTCTGGAGCTGTGGAGTCTGGATCTGTGGTTGCGGGTCACCTGCTGCCCCCGTGTTCCTGCTCGACACCTTCTGCTAGAATTATTGTTACTAGTCCTATTGTTGTTATTATCATCATCATCATCATTAACATTACGGTTATTATTATAAACACTACTATAAATATCTATAAAATTATTCATTCAGTCTGTGACAATCTGTTCAGACCACGCCCTTGTGAGGACCGCCGATACCGCCCACTCGCTCTGATTCGCTTCGCACTAAAGTCACAGTGGAATCCGCCTCGTGGATAAAAGAGCAAAAGAGGAAGTGGATCAACCGGGGAAAAAAAGCAGTGAATAGAGCGCGATTGAGGCAAAGACTCTTTTTCTATTTAGTAAATGTGTTTAAAAAACAAGGTAGTATAATCCCTTGACGAATTGTTTATCATCTCCACAAGCGTCTGCCTCGATACTGTTTAGCTCATCCCACATCACTCTACAAAAAATCATCACCTCCGCTGCAGAAACAATTCAACTACTTACCGCCTTCTACAAACGCCCAAAACGCCATAACCAAATGCCCAGACCAGGATCCTTTTGCCAGTAGACCGCCAGGTTGTTTTTTCCCCCCTCTTTGTTGCCCAGCTGGTTTCTTTTTGTGTGTGTCACTCGAACCTTATTTTGTGATTAACTGAGTTATTGATTTTTGCTGGAAGATTGGAATGAATTCACGTTTTTGCTTTTGTGGATTAATGGGAAAGAGTCTATTTTGTGTTTGCTTACCCTGAGAGGACAATTTGTTTTTTGACATTGCATAATTTTGTGTTTTTTGTTTGTGTGCGTATTATTCCAATACAAGCTGTTTTTGTTGTCCTTAAAAAAACTCCTGAGTGTGGTTTTCATTATACTGTTGGGATCATTTAATGTAGGGGAGTCCATATTTTGATATATGGGTCCCTTGTGACATTTGATAAAAAATAAAAAAACCTTAGTATCTTATGTCAGGAGAAAGACCTGACTGGCACCCCAGATATAAATACATTATGAACCAAACTGTCACAAGTCGATAGCAACTACTCTGGGTGTATATTGAATTGTTGTGCATTTTCAAAGAAACCTCCATATGACTTACAGAAGCCCTGAGAACAGAGGCCTGCTAGCAACAAAAGAGGACCACGCTTTCACAGCAGTTGATTTTCTACTAGGTTTTTCTTCCACTTTTTCCCCATTAAAACAGTTCTTTTTTTGTGTGTGTTTCCTTTTCTGAAACAAGAGTCTAAGGACAGAAGGTGTTGCATGCTATAAAGATTGGAAAGCCCCCTGAGGCAGATTTGTGATTTATAAATACAATTGACATTTCTGAGTTACCTCCCACTCTGGATCTCCCCCTCCCCCCAACCTACTTCAAAGTTTGTGCGTTCACACGGAGGGTCCGCCATATTGAGTGCCACTCGAAACCAATAATCGCAGAGTGGTTGTGGGTTATAAAACCCTCCAATACCGAGTGAGCATCGGTGCTGCTTGTTGAAGGTGTGTAGCACCCTTTGTTGCACGATGGAGGGCGCTTCTCTGAAATGTGACGCCTATAAACACTTAGGATTGTTAAATTCAGAAACTACACTAACATTTTTATAACACCATACACGGGTTAACATCTGAGCCTAAAGGTTATATGCTCCTGTCTGACAGACAATAAAAATGTTTATTGAATCTTATTCATCTCATTCAAAAATGAGCCTAAACAAAGGATTATAAAACGGCAGAATAATAAAATATGACACAACTAGATACACAGGGGTATCACATAATAAGCAGCAAAGGTATTAAAGAAAAATATTTAGATCTGTACACATTTTAACTGTTTTAACTGGGACAGATAATGCTTCAGTATGTTCAAAAAAATGCCATATTTGTGGTTTCTTTTTTCCATATAAGATAAAGAGCCTAATCTTTTACAAACAATTTCAATCTTATCATAAAAGATTCATTAATTAATTAATAGCTGAACAAGTCAATCTAACCGAAATAACTTGGTACATTTACAATCATAAAATAAAGGACAAATGGTTTCAGTTTCGTTATTGTAAAACACTTTTCCTTGACATCAATCCTTCTTTCGACTGTTGTGTGTTTGATTCACCAATAAGAGCAGTGATTGATCCTGTTTACACTAGGGAGAGAGAAGTTCATCTGAAAATTGGCTGCTGTATTTAAACCTTAGGCGTTAAGGGAACACGATTTGGCTATGAGGGCGACTCCGACCAGAGTACACTGTGACGGAGTGAAAGTGGTGAAGGTCTACTTTTGGAAAGGCCCTTTGTGGAGCAGCAGAGGGTAAATGAAAACACTTCCAAGCCAGAAGACAAAGAGAAAAAAAGATAATAAGAGAGAGATGAAGAGAGGGAGATGGAGGAGAAGAACATGTCATCGCTCTGTCACCCTTCAGACAAACAGAATAGAAGCAGACAGTAATTACTCCGGGGAACCACTGCTGAGTCTGTTTGTGCATACTTGTACTTCCTGCATAGTGAGGACCGGTGCAGACGAGGGTCAGCAGAGAGTAAAGCCAATTTCGGTTGCACACAAAATGAAGATGGAGGTGAGAGAGGAACCACTTAAGAGTAGCTTGGGAAATCAAGATTCTGCGACCAACAAATGTCAAACGCAAGTTTTTTTAATTTTGGCAGCAAAATACACAAACTGAATAGGATGGAGAACAATGGAGTGATGGATCGTTCCCCCGAGGTTTTTAAATTCAATCACTCCTGTCTGAGACATTGTGTGTGTGTGTGTGTGTGTGAGATGGATGGGTGACTCATTGTGTTCCTCATTTCAATGTGGAGTGGGAGAGAAAATATATTTGCTGCGACAACCCAGATTCTTAAGTAATTAAAAGTCTGTCAGGTTGAGCTAAAGCTCGAACAGAAAGGAGCAGCATCACACACAGGCATTGCTGCTGCAGAGAGTTCACTCTCACTCTTAATATTAATCCGAAATGTACGCATACAAATCCTTAGTAGATTAGATCTACAAATCCTGGTTGTTTATCTTTTTTCACACAACTGATTCATAAAGTGATTTTCTGTCTAGGATCAAAGTTTAGTTATGTTTAGGTAACAGAAACCAAAATGTAGTGTTGGTAGAAGGTCGGGAACAATCCCATTCAGGTTACATCCACACTACTATGTTTTAGTTTTAAAAATAAAACGATCTCCATCAGACGCAGAGTTTTCTCCATCTATGTTAAAACTACTTTATGTAGGGACTGTTCATGTCCACCGGGCATGTGCGTGCTGCTAAACAGGAAGCAGATTTTCTATTTCACTGCTGCAGAAGATTCGGAGAGAGAAGAACGTTCTACTAGAGACAAAAAAAGAACAGCGATGGTGAAGAACCACAGCGACAACAAGGTGGAACTGTTCCTGAAAGTAACACGGGAGTACAAAACAGCAAAGTCGTATAAGGGTTCGGGAGACAACGGGTTAGGGTTAGGGTTAGGGTTAGGGTCTATTGTTGTCAGGGAGACAACAGACTGATTAGTTAGAGACATCAGGTTGGCAGATATCAGTGTTCTCTGGGAATCTAACAAGGTTGAGTCCTTCAAGAATGTTTACAAGAACTCACTCGCTCCGCAGATTAGAGCACAACTCATGGATAGTGAGAGATTCGAATTTGACAAAGCACTGGAGTCTAAATGTCAGATAGATAGTTGTTCTAGAAACATAAAAAGGGACCACAAGATGTTCTCCTTCAGATTTGGTGTTGGCATTTGACGTGTTCACATGTTGTATGCTGGCACTGTGTCTCTTCGGCCGGGCTCAATAAATAATGCTATGTTAAGTCTTCATCAGTCTCGGAGCCTCAGACTGGGTTTACTGTGTGTTTCTAGTGGATGTGGAGTCATTTTTAACATGACTTGCTCTAGTCGGTGATTGTATCCCGTCGTGCGTGTATGTGGGTCATCCCTTTATTTCTTAGCCACAATAGCCATTGTGGCTAGTGGTTTTCCAAAGTTACTAGCCACACAGCATTTTCACTAGCCACATTTTTGTTGTTGGAAAAGTATGTTTGATATGATTAAAGTTAACTATGGTGTAAATGCTCCGTATTTGTATAGCGCCTTTCTAGTCTTTTTGACTGCTTTCATCAGATGCTTTGCTCGCTTCATTAGATACCTTGGTGCAGTTTAGTGACTTGTCCGACTCCTTATGTGTACTTTGTTTTATCGTCATCTGTTTGGACTAAACACAGGGATGACCAACCTCACATGTGACTGAATAGAAATGAGGATAAATTATGTAAAACGTGTTTCTTGCTGACAGGCTCTCCAACTCTCTCTGACTTTAATTGTCTCCATAATAAAGGTTGATGGGAGAAATAAAAGAAAGAAATATCTTTCTAATAAATAAATAAACTTGTGTGTGCACTAACAAGACAGTGAATCATAAAAAGACTCAAATATAAGACTTTGCAGCGATACACTTTTTAGTTTAGTTTAATGTTATCTGTCCTGATGTATCAGATCAGTCCGATCAGCTGCAGCATCCAATCAATATAATAGCTACCCATTAAGGGGGCATGTCGGTCATTAAAAGACTTCCGCAAAGGATGGACTGGTGTATCTTCGCTCATAGCTCCTCCATAGCGTAAATAAAAGCTTTGGGACGGCCTGCAAGATGGCAGAGCGGAACAACTTCCAAATAAGAGACTTGAGAAGAACCCACTGACTGGTTTCCGGGGCAATTGCACCTATAAAAAAATTGTGAATCTCAGGCTGCAGTTGTCCATGTTGTTTTTAAAAGGTTTGCTCAGATATAATCTGTGTTGCGAGTTTGTATAATCCATTTAATGTGTGATATTTGATAAACCCTGACTTGACTTGAAATCTCACGTGTTTCAGAGGAACTGGAGTCAGATTTGTACAGAGTATGAATTAGTGTTTTGGGAATGAACAGTGTACCTGGAAGGCCTCCTTGGCGATGGCGTCGTCCTCGTCCCCGCGGGCCCACGGCTGTCTGTGATTAGATTTCAAACTGTCTCCGAACACGTCGATGTAGAAGAAGACGTACTGCTCGTGAGGAAGATCTGTCTTTCGAAACTGAACCATCAACTTCCTGAAGACGTCGGGTGAGCAACAGACAAACATCACTGTCAAAAAGATAGAAAAGTGCTTTCAGTCTGGGTTCAAGCAGCTTCTGGAACACATTACTGGTTAGAGATGATACGAATGAAGACATATAAATCTTTTAATACAATCACTTATATTATGATGGGACGGACAGACAGCGTCAGGTGAGCTGTAACTTCTCCAACACATGGAGCAGCATAAAACATCAGGTGACTACAGAGGGTGAAACTAAAATTCAAAAGGGCAGAGTTTACTGAAGTGAAAGGTAAAAGTCTGAGTCAATAATAGGGGTGCAACAAATAATCAACAGTCAACAAAAATCTATTTGATGGTAACAAATGTAATCATCAGCATTGAATAGTTCATGACGTCATCGGGCGACGGCAACACAGTCAGCTTACTGGAGTGAACAGTAAAGCAACTTTACTGATGATAATAACATGTTCAAGGATTGGATTCCAAGGATTGGGGGCACTCAGCAAATAATTAATATACACATGTTCCTTGGCAGATGTCCCCTAACTTTACAATCATAAACGATGCATCGCTCATGGCGACGTTTACAGCTGGAGAACGCGTTGCTGCCGAATGCACAAGGTTAGAGAACACCAGACAATTTCACACATTATAAAATACAGTTATCCTGTCTGTGTGTGAAGTGGCGGTCCAGACTGTAAAAAAATCTGGGCTTTGGTAAGTTGTTGAGTTAGAGGACACTTTACAAACTCTGTGAAACGTTGTCAACTACACAAATTGATATTTTTTGTCCCCTCTTGTAAATTCGGCAAATGGAATAAATCAAGTTATTCCTTCCTTTGTATAAAAATATAGTGTTATTTAGTCCCGGTGTGTTGCAGTACCGGCAGTAAGCTACTATGTCTTAACAGCGGATCAACTACACAGATGAGTGCAGCGTACATCGTCACACACAGTTATTTCTTACTGTATAGATCTAGTTTTGTTCATGACAGGACTTGATTACAGTGGAACTTTCTGTTGCTGCAGCAGAAAGGTTCATTATAAGATGAATTTTTGAATGCAGAATTAATTTTTTCGTCTTAATTGTTAATTAGGGTAGGGCAAAAACAACCTCAAGCTCAATTTAAAAGCTAAAGCCAACTAAATGTAGGTAAATGAAAGGCAATGTGTATTTTGCGATTCATAATCCAAATAGTTGATTCAATAATCAACAGACTAATCAGCTAATCATCAAAATAGTCGTTAGTTTGCAGCCCTAGTCAAAAACAACCTTTAAGAGAGAAAGAGAGATCTTTGCTATAAGAAACATGTCAGAGAGCTTCAGATTCTGCTGCTGCATAGTTGAGGTCGGAGGCTGAACTCAGAACTCAGTGGACAAACTCTAAGCTTTAATTTGAGGGTGTATACGTCACCTTCAGATGAACCATATGAGAATCTTTTTATAGATATTCCCCAACTTTAGGGGACCAAAAGTAGTTAACGAGAAGTTAATCGTGGAGATTGTGAAGCAGGACACAGTATCTCTAAAACCTTCAGGTTAGACAAACTTATTGGGGAAAATTATTACACGGTTTAAAACATCCATCAGTGTTCAGACCCACCACCTGCTTCACTTTTAACTGATTACTGTTTGGCTTTATGTTTAATGTTATTGTCCTGCTGCACCATTAAGCAGCATCCCCGCTGGATCTGAACATGCAAAATGTACAAAATATCTAACTTTAATATCACCAATAAAAACCGGATTGAAAGAAACTGCAAGTGAGAAACTTCCACAGGTGCAGCCAGACATGCCCGCGACCACCTCCGCCATGTTTGAGATTCACGTTCAGGTTGTATGACACGGATTACAATCTGTGTTTGTCCTTCATCACACAGGTTTATAATCTAGTGTAAAAACCTTTTGAATGTAAAACAATTAAAAAAAATTAATAAGCTACTGCCCCAAACTTATCAGAGCACCAACATATGTGCACAATATAATTAAAAACAGCTTTACATGTTTCCTCATCATATATTTATCAAAAATAGGCGCCAATAATTAATTAATATTTAACAGTTTGATCTTTGTTTCATCTGTCAACAACAGTTAATTTTTTTCCTGATGGTCATTTTCCTCGCACACTCACACTCACTACATCCTGGGAAAGTGTTCCTAATGTCTTGCACAGTTATTTTTCCTCCGTTACAACATTTCTCTTCTTCCATTATTCTCGTCTTCTGTTCCTCTTCTCTTCTCTACCAGGTGGTTCAAATTAGTGAGCTCAGTGGTGAATTCTTGCTTCTTCACAAGCCAAACAGATTGTTCAGTTTGATTTGACAGGGCAGGCAGAATGGTGGGATTATTTTTTGAAAAACTTGATGAAATTGAAGTTTTATGAAACCTTAAAGGCTCTCAACAACCTGGAGCTTCTAATCAAACAGCCAGCTCCCCATCTGATCTGCTGGTAAAATAAATTGCAAAACAAGAAAAAACCTGCACTTAAATATTGTACATTAGACACACGACACACCTGAGGGTTTGTGTTTGTGTTTTTTTTAAGTTTGAGGGTAATAAATTTTATCAAAATATTTTTAAGAAATGTTTCTTAATCTTAATTTTATGTTATGTGTTTGTCTACAGTATTTCTGTCCATTAGGGCTGGCCCGAATGCCATTATTCGAAGCTTCGGCGGCAGCAGGGACAGGGTGGTGGGTCAAGTGCAAGACTAAGAGAGGCGAGGGGTGAGATGAAAGAGGAATATCTATTGCAGGGTTGAAGGGATGGGATATTGACCCGGGGAAGAGCGAGGCAGGTGGGAAGACTAGATGCTGCAGAACCCTGGTTTGAACACTGCCTTTGTTCTTAGTCAGTTTAAAGTGCTCCCACACATCTGAGCGCTTCATTTTATTTTCCCTTTGATGTGAACGGTTTTGTTGTAGTCGAATGCCTGATATATACAAATATATGTACAAATATTTGAAAATTCGGGTAATTATGGCATATGGCAGTTGAGCATTTATAAATACATATATATTAAATCTATATTTTCAACTTATCTTATTATCATTGTGTTACAGTGCAGGCTTCAGTGTGATTGGCTGCTGGGCTCTATGTGCAGATACAAGCACACGTATGGAGAATACTCTGCAGAGGACTCAGGTGGATTACTCTTTAATTTAACAAGTTTGACAAATCAAATCTCAACCTCTCAAAGTGTGTGGAACAAGATGTGTAATTAGTGTGTACATGACAGTTCTGGATGACCTTTGTGCTACTGAATATACTTATTACTATCTACATCAGAATTTTAGCATTTCCGGGACGTTAACTTCCATCAGATTAATTAAAAATCAAGAAAAAAATCTAGTTTTTGAGCTGATTGATATTATGATACTCAGTGAAACCTCTGTCGGGTTTTGAAGAGCTGTTATATGTAAATGCTCTGTATTTGTATAGCGCCTTAGTAGTCTTTGCGACCACTCAAAGCGCTTTTACACTACACCTGCATTCACCAGTCACTCACTGAGCCTAAGTGCTCAAACAGAAACTAACATTCATACACATTCATACGCCAGAGGCAATTCAGGGTTCAGTATCTTACCCAAGGACACTTCGACCCGCTCTACCCCCTGAGCCACAGCCGCCCCACTATATAACAGTATATTTTAGTTTTAATAATCCAAAATGGAATCAATAAAAATGAAAGGAGACTGTAGATAAAATGGGTCGCTATGAAATAAGTTTTATATAAAAAGATGTTTCCCATTTGAGTGAAAAATAAAATCAGTTTCACAATAGTTTTCCTCTGAGTTCAGTCCTTTCTCAAACCCCTTTGAAAAGCAGAAGGATTGGCACCACACTCTTCACAGCAGGAGTCATTTACAAGCTGCCAGACTCCTGACTCAAAACCCTGACCCAGAACAGCAGGTCATCAAAATGTCATTTCTAAAAAAATCAAGACTTAAAAATAAAAAAAAACGATCCAGTTAGGTAGCGAATGTTTCTGTTGCTGCTTTAATTTCCTCTGCTGTGAAATGAGCCCTCAGTGTGTTTTGGTAAATGGATGATCCAAAGTACGGCGAGACAAGAGAAAACTGTAATCAATAAGGTGGCGTTGAGACTGTGGTGCAGCAGCCAAGGCCACCCGGAGTGACTCAGACAGCTGGAGGCGAGATTATAGCTGCCACCTCCGCCGCTGACTCATCTGTCAGAGGGGACATCAATGGGATTCATCACAGACGAGTGTGTGTTGCTCTGTAAGGCCTCTCTGAGAGCATCAGCTGTTCGGTTCTGTTGTTACACTCAGAAAAATCCATTAAGCCTCTGAGAGAAGAAGCCTCCAGTAGCTGATGTTTTCTATCAGGACTTAGACAACATCAATACAATGTTGATGGAATTTATTGGTAAAAAGACTCCATGAGGCTCTCAGGTTACACACTTTTGTGCTTTGACTCTCACTCAAACATGTTTTCACATTCACAGAACCCCTCTGTAAAACACTATTTGCTGTTTTTATTCTTGTGGTAATGCAGCTTTAAGTGGAGATTTATTTCTGTACTGCCTTATAATGATAACACAGTTGTGACAAAATAATTAAGGGGTGGACAAACTGGTGGCCTGTGGTTTTTAAAAACATTTTATCACAATAATATAGAAAGAGAATAAACAGTGCAACTCCTCCTATTTCGTTAATAAGTCAACGTGAAAAGGACCAGAACTAAAAGACAACAGTAAAATCATTCTCTTCTTTTGGTCCGAAGGAAGAGAGACCTTTGATTATGAACAATATTGGTTCAGAGATGCTGTAGTTCTTGTCCAACATTTGTCTTCTGCTGATGACTCTGTCTATCAAAGTGTTGCATAGTAACTAGGGGGTGTGATGAGATCTCATGCCACAATTAAAACATGATGAGATTTCTCATCAGGTTAAAAGCTGTCTGAAGAGACTCATGCAAGTAACACTTTTTACACGCTCTCACGCCACACATCAATCACAGTCACACAGTAAACAAATGTATTAATTGTATAGTAGCTGCTAGAGAATTGCAATAAACATGT